TCCTACCGATTATCCGCCTAGCTGAAAATTATCCAAACTGTATTCGAATGTGTGTGTGTGTGTACGCCAAGTTTACACAAACTCGTTTCTCTCCTGTATACACGTATACAGCTCGAAATGAAAAAACTTTTGCTCCTTCCCTTTTCGACATATTTTCACGCTGTTAAAATTATAACGCTGTTCGGTTTATTATTATACACGTATAATATATCCAACCCAATACGATCCCAATACGATCGATAGGTTCGTTAAACCGATCGTTAAAATATGAACAAGCGTATCGCGCTCGCCACGATTACGTATCTGCAATCGAATAAATACAAACATTAGGGAAAACACAGGAAGGGAGAAAGAGAGAGAGAGAGAGAGAGAGAGAGCAGGGAGAAACAATATCGGGCGGAAGTACGTCATGCGGAAGCGTGAAATGTAATAGAGACTCAGGTGGTACGGTAACGGTATCGATAAAGCTCGATCGAACCTCGGAGGGAGGAAGGGAGGGAGGCACGTTACGTTATCCGATCAGGTATTATTTGACTTGAGGAAAATTCCGTGCCGAAGGAAAACTAACGTTTAAAAGATGCGACGCAGAGGCAATAATATCGACACAGGGGTAGGATCGATGCGTACAATGTTCAATATTGAATGGATCGCTCTTCGACAAATATACTCGTCTCGTTCCGCTGTATTTACGCGTGTAACGCTTCGATAACGTCCCGAGAGACGACACAAAGGGGAAAAACTTTGACGGTTTTAATTTGTCTTAAGGTTTCTTCAAAAACGTCGACAATTATCTTCGAAGAGAAAAGAAAAATTGATGAGACGAAATACAACGAAGGAATATAGATTCTGTCTATCTGCATGTATCAAAATCTTGAGAACTTTTCAATCTATATAAAGAAACAACAGTTTCTTCAAAAACATTACTTGACTGGAAGAAGCTTCTTGTCTATGCAACGCACTAAAGACGTAAGTCTTAGAATCTGTCAAAATTGGCTTCGTTGAGATCAGATTCACAGAAGAAGATTCGGTTCGAATCGCGCTTGCACATCGAAGTTGAATAAATCACAACATTCGAAATCGGAACGCCGGTCAATCAGCGATCGTTCAATTCTCCTCCCTTCCTCCCTCCCTCCCTGATCGTTCATTTGATCGTAGGAGACGAAGTTCATCCGTCGCAGCGAGAATGATCGATGCGAAAACGAGATGAAGGAGGAAAGGAGCAAGAAGCAACGGGTTGAGGCGGCGCATTTAACGACAAAACCGTAGCGAGAGATATTTACGTGGGAGCCATATGGTTGAGCAAAGCAAAACAGTTCTTAAAATGACGATCATAAATTTTGGTAAACGGCCTCGTTGGAATTTATATTCCGCGTATATAGGAAAGAGACGGCTGGCGGTGGCGGCGTCTCCCTCTGTGCGCGGTATGCAACCTAAATATATATATATATAACTTCCGGTATCAAGCGGATCCTCGTTACCAGAGACGCAAAAGACACATTTCGTGGCGAGTTCCGGTAACGCGGTTGACTCTAATTGAGAAAAATTGTTCGTAAAACGCCCCTGCCGGACAAAGGAGACAAGGGGGTAACCCCTCCCCTTCCTCCCTTCGGCACAATTTATTATACGATTTCTTCTTTGCGGAATTTACCGCGCGCCTCCTGCCAATTAAACTCGCTTCAATTTGGATTAATCTCGAGAACGTGAAGAGCTCCCGGCTATCTTCTTCCCTTTTTCTTCGCCCGTGCCTTTCCTTTCCGTTTTAACGTTCGAGGGATTACAGGACGCCGGAGAGCGATCTTTTCATTAAAAAGTTCTATCTGTTCCCGTGGAAACGTTTACGTTGATATTAATATCTCAAAATTTACAAATGATTCCCTCCTCTTGTCCTCCGGATTACGTCTCCCCCTCCCCACTCCTTGTTTACGACGTCATAACTCTTCCGAAGAAAAATATATATATATATATATATATATATATATTTGGATGCTTCGTTTTTAAAAAAAAATACACGGTACACGAAACCTTTTCGAGAGTGCGTTTTTTGTTTTTTCGAAAAATAAATGAATGGCGATACATATCCGAATGTAAACAATAATGGTAAACATTCGAATAGCTATTATTTTAAAAACGTGCTTTCACGATCCGCCCATTGGAAAATATGGAAAAACAAAAGGGGGAAACGAGAATCCGTCCCTTTAAACGGTCCGTTCGAATCTATCCTCTCCACTTAACCATCGCGATGTTTCGATCGTGCGGACAAAAGCGGGGGCGTTCGAGAAACGAGACGAAAGGGTCGACGAGGGGGATGGTCAGCCAATAAGTCGGAGAAGATTCGATCACCTCCCGTTTCCATGTACGCTCGATAAGACTCGAGCGTAAACGAGCCCGCATCGTTTTTCGTTTCTTTTCTTTCTTTTTTTTTTCTTTTCTTTTTCTTTTTTTTTTTTCCCTCCTTTTTTCTTTTCAAGCACGATGACTCGACCCTGTCGAGAGGCGATTATTTTTCCGCGTCCCCTGCAACAGAGGAGAGATCGAGTTCGTTAAGCCGTGACAATACGGTTTATTTTCGCTCCTCTTGGCTGATGGTCGTTTCGCGTTCACCTTCGTGACGCGTGCCATCGAGGAAATATCAGCTGTGTCGATCTCTCTCTCTCTCTCTCTCTCTGTTTGCCATTTCTCTGTCCTCGTCTAGAAATGACGTGAATTATTAACGAGGGGATGAATATTCGAAGCGACGCCTCGGTGCAAGACTACGTTTAACCTGTCCGCGAAATTAGCATGCGGTTTTTCGAGCCTTCCCAAGCCTCGACCTAATTGTTCGACGATCGGATAAAAAGAGGGCGTCAAAGGCTACGTATATAAACTTGGTCGTTTATCCCGGATCGTTGACTAATTATCGATGCATCAGGTTGCCGAGATTATCGGAGAGGGGAGGTGGAATTATTGATATCGAGAGGGAGGGAGGAGGAAAAAAAAAAAAAAAAGAGTCGCGAGAATTGGATGCAAATCGAGGATAGAAATCCGATAATGCGAATTAATGAAATTCTTATTCTAATTTCTCGTAAGGAATCTGTATTATATTTTCGACTAGATGTCGCGTACTTAAAATTCGCGACTCATACGAGATATTACGTATTAAAATCAATAACCGGCGCAATCAATCAATTCTCTTCGAGAAATAGAATTATACGCACCGTAGTATAGTAATCATTTACATGGAAAAGAAAGAAAGAAAGAAAAGATGTAGATCAATAGGGGATAATTCGAGGTTAGCCGACGAATGAAATGCGAGTGAAAATCTACGCGAGAGTAGACGAGGGAAACTGTGTTACGTGTTTGCAACAGGCGTTTACAATGGACGATTAATTGCTCGAGGCTAACTGTGACCAGCTTTTCACCCCCGCTTTGCAAAACGTTCAAATGGCCGAGGTCAGGGGAGGATGATGACTCTATCGTTGCGAGGGTTGCGCACCCCTTTCTCATTTATGATCTTATGCAACGTGCGACGCAATGTTACATCTACGTGGTTCGTGGCGACGCATATTAAACAGCCTCTTATCCGAAGTTGACCTCTACGGTATCGATATTTCCGACCGAGGATTCCTTCCAGGAAAATGTCTCCTCTTCGTAAATCGGTCTTCTCTTCTTAAAAGAGAGAAAGAGAGAGAGAGAGAGAGAGGAATTCCTCGTCTCTCAAAGATCTCGAAGACGATCTCGATAACGATAATTGTCAAAAATCTTCGTTTTCGAGGAG